CTGTCGTCATTCGCTGCTCTGTGTCGATGTGAGGTAAGTGGTCTTCAATTTCTTCGCTTCCTGTCGTGTTTCTGTAGCTGGAAGAGTTGATATTGTTGGATTTTTCTCTGATTTGTTGTCCGTTGTTGTTACTGCTTGGTGGCCAACGGTGTGTGCGCATTTAGCTTCTATCTGTTCTTCCTCCTCAACTGATTGGCATCGCGTGTGTGTGTTTGATCTTCATATTTCCGTCCTTTTTCAGCTAAGCGTGCCGCGGGAGTGAGAGTTGCAAGTTGAGATTCTTCTCTATTTTAGTCCCAAAAAAAAAAAAATCCTGCCTTCATTCTTCTTGGTTACTGTTATAAGTAGCTTGAGAAATTTAAATTGTTGATTGTTTGATATTATGCATCATTTGTTTTGGTGATTAAGCTGAATGTGGTGATAGAGTTAGTGTTGGAAATTGATGAAGTAGTTGGGATTGTTTGGTTGCTCATCTCATAATTTTGTCAATAATAAATGAACTCAAGATAATTCGTAGAAATGCTAGAAGAAAAAGTTGGTGGGAATGAGATTATTTAATTTTCATATCAGAGCCTTGAAGAATTATATATGCTATTTGAAAAAGTATATGTCTTCACATAAATTGTATCTACCTATTAGAATTGTGCAGCACCAATAGAAAAATTATTAAAATAAATGATAACTAAAATTTTGTTAAACTTGAAAAAGAGTTGTGCTAATGGTAGTGGTTAAATGCTTTCTAGTATTGTTGTCTATTTGACAAAAGTTGTTGAAGGGTTCAGTGAAAATTGATTTAAGGGATTTATGAAAAAATTTAAGAATTAGCAAAAATTTTGAATGTTAATTTTCTTAGTTTAGTATAAGAAAGAAAATTTATAATGATATAAAATGTGTTGATTTATATGCTAGATTAATTTGAAGCATCATGGGAGTAGATAAGAAATTAAGGGAGTCTGTAACATTTTGAATAAATTTCTAATAAAGCATTTACAAAATTCCTTTATTTAAGTTTTACTATTATTCCTTTGTACATTATACCAATATCATTGTTAATCCTATTTTTTTAATAATGTCTTATTTATGAAAACATCTTGATTTTTTTGATGATTATATTATCAATAGGTAATGGTTAAAATGTACATATGATGAATGATATTATTTTTCAAAAGCAATTAAATTATTTAATTCTATGTTGATATAAAATTTTTAATGCAATAATTCATGTATGGAGGAAATAATGATAAATTTGGACAATGGGAAATGATGGTTGAATAGTGTTTGAAGAAAAAAATTTTGAAATTGTTTTCTTGCTCTATACATGTTTGATTTTAGGGGAAAATGACAATTAAGAACCTTCTAAGAACGTTTAATCCTAATTATGAATCATAAAAATTTAAAATCCTAGTTAAGGACCATGGTTCTTAATTATGATAAAAAAAATATAATTTGTGAGGTGGGATTCACTAACGCGACTTGGGGATTCACTAACCCAACTTGAGAAAATTACTAACGTATATTATGAAAATATAAAACCCCACTTCAGAATGGATTATTTAACAAAAAACTCCACTTGAAAATTCACTAATTCGACTTGAAAACATTTCTAACGTATATTGTGAAAATATGAAACTCTACTTAAAAATCGAATATTTAAGAAAAAGCACCACTTGAGAATTCACTAATTAGACTTGAAAAAATTTCTAACATATATTGTGAAACAATAAAACTCTACTTGAGAATCAATTATTTAATAAAAAGTGACTTGTCTAAATTGGTGTTTTTTTTTAAATAATCAATTCTCAAATGGAGTTTCATGTTTTCACAATATATATTAGAAATTTTTTCAAGTCGAGTTGGTGACTTTCCAATTGACGCTTTTTGTTAAACAATTGATTTTCAAGTGGGGCTTCATGTTTTCACAATATACGTTAAAAATTTCTCAAGTTGGGTTAGTGAATTCTCAAGTGGCAATAGTGAATTATACCTCACAAACTATATTTTTTTTATCACAATTAAGGATCATGGTCCTTAATTGGGATTTCAAAATTCATGGTCCGTAATTGGGATTAATGTTCTTAGAAGGTCCTTCATTGTCATTTTCTCTTGATTTTACAAAGGAGGACTAAGTTTAAATTGCTAGGTGCTAACGGTAGTCTCATTAGCTCTTGATGCGCCATGGTACATCTAGCTAGTAGGGTGTTTATAGGAGGTGCTAGCCCCATGCAATAGTCAATGCACATGAAACGAAGGGATGATTATTCATAAGTATTGTACTCATGCTTATTTTAGTAGGCTTCATGCCTACGCTTGATTCGTGACTCTTGCCATGCTTGCTTCATGGCTTTTAGTCATGCATGACTGGTTACTTACCCTCATAGACCATGTGTTCATGCTTGCCATTTATTTTGATAAAGCTTTCCTAAATTTAAGTTAAAATTTATCATTTCTTTTTAATTCTCTAAAAGTATTTTATTAATTGCACTATTATTAAAAATTTTTATATTTTATTAGCAATAAAATTTTCAATACATTTATGTAATTCTACTAACATTGTTTAATTTCACGATTATATTATTAAGAAAAATTATTAGTTATTTTTGTTTTAAATATTTGATTCAATATTTCATTAATTCATTTTGAATTAAATTTATTAGTTATTATCTTCATATTTTTTATATTCTAATTTTAATTGAAATGTTACTCATCAAAAATTTCTTTGATTTCAAATAATGTAGCTGACCCTATGTCTCTTGTGGATCATTGGGGGGCCCTATTATTTTTGAAAAATGGAAGCACACTTGGAATACCTTTTTGGGTGAAACTATGTATGCTATTATATAATTGTAATTTAGTACTTCACATACACCATAGTTAGGTCCTAGTTTTATTTTTGTTGGAAAGAAATTTGTTGATGTGAAGCTAGCACTACTATAAAAAAAAAAAAAGCTTTTCACATCACTTTTTTAAGGCATTTTACATCCTTATCATGGGGGGACATAGATCGGGTGACCTAGAAAACTGACTTATCCATATCACTTTTATGAGGGACGTGGTTTTTGAAGAACCATGTCGCTTTCAGAAACCACATCCTTTTTTTTTAAAGCGACATGATTTCTCCTGGAACAAATATTAAAATAATTTAAATTTAAATATTATTATTCTCATTTCATCATTCCAGCTAACTATAGATTTCACAAGCCTAAAAAAAATAAAAGAAAAATAAAACCATATAAAAATTGATGAAGAAACCAAAGATAATGGAGAAGACTTAAGTAGAGACCAGAAATATCTATAAAGAAAAAAGGTTTGTGGATGAAAGTGACACTAATCAAATACTACTTGCTTAGGAGAAAGAGGAGGAGACGAAGACATGAGAAAGTTGTCTATCAAATGCCCACCATCAAATGCTAGCCTTGGGTCTCTATTCAGTTTGTCGGTCATAGATCTTGATGATATAGGTCTCAATGCAATGGGAAGGAGAAGAGAGAGTTGTTGTGTGGATGAGAGGAGAGATCTGTAGTGGGGAGAAGAAGAGAGATGTGCTGCCGTTGAAAGGAAAGAGGGAAAGGAGTTAGGTTTTAAAACATAAAATGATGGAGCGAGGGAGGAGCTCAATCTAATTCAAATCACTTTTTTAAAAAGTGACATGAAAATGTCTAGAAATTAATATTTTAAAATAATTTATTTTTCACAATCCATGTTATGTTTTTAAAAAAGCAACATGGATAATTTATTCATATTGTTTTCTAAGAAAGCGACGTAGAAGTCCAAAAATTAATAATTTACACTAATTTATTTTTTATAATTCATGTTACTTTTTTTTTAAAAAAAAGCTAAAAACGAGACGTGGATAACTTACCACATTGCTATTTTAAGAAAGCGACATGAAAATATCCAAAAATTTAAAAAAAAATCAATTTGAATTGTAAAAAATAAATTATTTTAAATTATTAATTTTTGAAAATTTTTCACATCGCTTTCTTAAAAAGTGACTTGGATAACTTATTTACATCACTTTTTTAAAAAAGCAATGTTGATAATTTTACATATTCAATATTTATTTATAAAATTGCCACCGCCTCTATTTTTTGTGTCACTTTTTGTAAAAGTGACATAAATTGAGGGACGTAAAATGTATATTTTGCAGTAATATAGTCTCCCTTGCTAGATTGGTTAACAGGTTTTGTTATTGTAAAATTTTGAAAAGTTCAAATTATATGGGAGACTCTACCAAAATTTCTACAAAATATTTAAAATTTTATAAACTTTATATTATATATAACTTATATATATTGATAATTCATCTTAACCTCTAGCTAATCTAGACTCATAAAATGTGAGTTCATCTTATATTTTATCTTGATCATATCCTTAGCATCAGGGTATGACATAGGCCCTTCTTTCTTTTAATCTGTCACTAAGGTCCATGAGTCGATATCAATTGCTCCATGAATGCACTAAGGTATATGCTTTGTTTTTGTGTTAAAACTTGACATATTTACAAATTCTTTCTCAAACTTCTACTTGTAAATTAATTTTAAATATTCTCACATACGTTGTGTTTTTGAAATTCATCTATAGCATTCTTGCAAATAAAGTGTCAAATTCAAATTTACTCAAGAACACATTTGCACTCTGTTTTGATGAAAAATTTTTAGAAAGTCATAATTAAATTTGATTAACACCCAATCCACCCCTCCCTCTTGTGAATGTTTCCATATCTAATGAAAAGAACATTTTATTCATATTGATTCATGCATGAGTAAGACTGATTATTCAAGTGTGAGGCCATGAAATGATTTTGTTAAGTTAAGATCAAAACTCTTATGCCATATCTTTTCGTACAAATGCAAGTTCTCAAAAAGATTTACATAAGAATATAAGAGATTAAAGATAAAAACAACCTATGTGCTAAGCCTTCTCTTGAATCTTTTTGCATCGAAGGTTTTGTCGCAGGTTAAAGTATTTGATCAGCAAAAACAACCTTCTCTTAAGTTTTGTTATCATCAAAACATATAGTCAAACACTCTTTCTTGACCTTTTTCCCAATGACTCAAGTACATAATCAAGTGCATGATTTATATATAATTGATATATATATATATATAATACATATATCACATGCATGAATTACAAAATTTTATGTGAACATCATGAAACTAAAAGCATGGACATAACCGGTGAACATTTGTATCTGAAAAGTGGCTACTGGCTGCATCACCATTGTCATCATCGATATCAATAGCAAATGTTTCATTGACTTGGCTCGCTTGACCGACTTGGTTGGCTTGACTGACTTGATCGCCAATCAAAAGGTCACTCCATCCATAAAATGACACAAGAATAATTCTAATGAAGAAGTCTCCAATTTGACGAAAAAAAGGAAGACGAGTTCTAAGTGGAAACCTTCCTAAAATACGAGCAAATAAGATGATGAAAATGGAGGCGAATCCAATGACACTTATAACATCTGCAAGCAACGTGTTGTTACTAACAACCAAACGTATAGCAGCTAAAAATGCCGCAGGCATGGTTACGAGAGCCACATAAACAAAAATCTTAGCAAGTTCATATGCTCCTTCAGCAAAACGAAGATCACCTAGCGGGACCCACAGTAGAACAACAGAACCAATGGTGGAACTGTACATAGCAATGGTATTGAAAGCCATGAATATATTGAATAGTTTTTGATCAACTAAAAGTGCCATGCCCCTCTGTTTTGCAAGTGGATCATCCGATGAGTAAAACCCACCTGGTACTGTGAAACCAGCCGTAAATGTCACTGTGGCTATCAGTATGGCCACAAGCATCAGTGTGTTGGCTGCGTCCTTCACGTTCCATTCTTTATTGGTAGATGTTGTGCGTGATATGCCCAGCATATTTGCCTTCAAGGGCACACCAGCACTTTCCAAAATTGCATCGGCTAGAAAACTGAAAGGTAATCAAATCAAACATTCTTAATAACATGCTGCATATACATATATATTATTTTATCAGGAAAAGAAGTTCCTAGCTAGAATCAAAACCTTTTAAAAAACTAAGATGCTTAACAATCATACCTCTTGACGTGTCATTGGAATTTTACACTGCATCCGAACAACGTCTCGAGCTGTTAAACCTTCGTTATTGACAAGGTTTACCTTGATCATGTTGTGTCGTGACAGAAGGAGTAGGGTCCAAAGACTAAGTTTTCTTGAAGCGAAATGTAACGGGGTATCTCCATTTACATCTCTCTCATTGAGAGTGTCATGATGAATCTTGGGGTTCTTCAGTAGATATTTTATCATATCAGTTTGTCCCTTCATTGCTGCAATGTGAAGAATGTTCTGACCTTTACTATTCAAGAAAACTCCAGCATTAGACCACTCTGTTTCAAGCAACTTGTTGACCACCTGAACATGGCCTTTTTTGCAAGCAAGGTGAATTGGAAGATTGCCATCTGAGTTTCGTTGAAAAGCAATCGTGGGAGATTTTTCTAACATTGTACAAACTCCTCCGAGGTAACCCATGTATGCTGCATAATGAAGGGGAGTATTGTTCTTCTCATCTCTTTGATGCATTAGCTCTTCTCTTGTATCCACTATCTTCTTCAATAGAGCTTCACCAAAAAAATAAAGAAATAAAGAAACTTATATGTTGGGAAGTGCACAAATAAAAAGCGAAAATAAATAGGATAAAAAATTGAAAATTATAGGAAAATTAGAGAAAATGATAAAAAGATGATACAAGAAATTTAATGTGGAAAAACTCCTAATATGAGAGACAAAAATCTTATGGGCAATGAGTGGGAAATTTTACTGTAGAAAATAGAAAGTATAATAATTGTCTCTATGCTATGGGTGATGGAGTCCAAATATAGATATAACTTCTCATCAACTAAAAGTATTATATTGACTAATGATAAATATCTCTTAAAATCTCAAATTAAGAGATGATAAATTTTAAACCAAGAATAAATATCAATAACTGCAAATGATTATAAAAATTTGAATCATAATCTTAACAGTATATCAGGGCAAAATGAAACAAACGCAAAAATAAATAAAGCAGCATACAAATCAATTAATTCTAGAGTATGCGGACCATTATTTCGCTCGGATATTGCTGCTTGAAGTGGAGAGTCTCCGTTTGAAATGGCCCGGCCTGAGGGGATTGGAATTTTTTTCAAGAGAAGATGAAGAATATCTTTAGTCCCTGTCAAGACAGCCAAGTACATTGGTGATTTGCAACCATAACTGGAGTTCCATGTCCAATAAGCGGCCAAATCACTTTGGCTGTGTGAAAGTAAAAGGAAAAAAACCACAGAAAGATCCTTGCTCAAAACAGCTTCATGCAAAGCTGTCCTTCCATAATTATTGCGTGACATTATAAACTCTGCTTTATCCTTCGATTCATCCTCCTCAGATATCATTTCATGTTTATACGTGTTGAGGATGCTCTTGATTGCAAAAATATTCTTAGCTCTTGCAGCAACATGAAGTGGGGTATCCCCTTTCAGATTTGTCTTACAGAGAAGCTTAGGATAGTGAAAAGCAATGAGCCTCACAACTTCTTCATTCCCACATTCAGCTGCAGCATGAAGCAATGAATCACCAGTGGGAGTGACTTGATTGAAAATGGCAGCCAAATCGACCCCATTTAGTAAACATACTTGCTCCAACACAGAAACAAATTTATCTGCATCTGCATTTTTATCACGAACCGCTTGGTACAACTCATAATACATAATACGTACCGTGTTCCCACTAAACGGCGCATCCTGATCAACTGATGAAGAACTGAACTTCTTTTCTGATATCAGAGAAGGATTAAAATCAGTTTCCATCAGTTCATGCATCTTTTCGTTGGCACCAAATTGTATATCATCCGCTGATGATGAACTGAACAGCTTTTCCATCAGACCACGCATCTTTCTGTTGCCAATTATAGTTGCCATATCATCATCACTTTGCATCAGTTCACTCATTACTTTGCTGATAAATGAACTTGGCTGTCTCTTTAGCATTGTATTCATTTGCTCCTTGATCCGCGACGCAATTTCTCGTGACCTTTCAATGCGCACCCAGTCAGTAGGCATATCTAAGGTTATTTCAGTATAATCCAAGTCGCTCATTGCTACTAACTCTTGAATCAAATGCAAATCGTTGGAAAGGAAAATCTCGTAGTTGATTACCCAAGTTGATCAACTTTTCATTTCAGCACTAGGAGGACCTATATATGCATTGTACAATTCAAGTCATGGCGACTACACAGATAAGACGCGCTATGGTTCTTATTGGATGGTTTACGCGGAGAAATTAGAATATTGTATTCATGATTAATAATTGCATTCCATCTATAGAAATGCTTTAGCGGAATGAATAAGAAAATCAGAGCAGGCTAACTTTGAAAATTTGCAAAGGAGTTTCTTGTGCTCACGTTCTTCGTTCAGTAAGAACAGCGCGACTGCCAACTCATAAATGATTTATTTTAAATATAAAGAGGTTATTTTACGTATTCAAGTATACATACATATATATATAATATTCATATATACGTAATAAATGCAAGATTATTTAATTAATTAGATTTAATTTTAGTTTATGCTACACTGAAATAAGTTAAAATATTGTATCTTTAAGTTTATATTTGATCATATTTTTTTTATTCATGTCTTAATTTTACGAGTGGTAGTGGAAATTATGTCTATTGATATGAGTTACGCTCTAGTGTTTAGGCTGTTTTTTTATTACTGGTTCTTTCAAGCTTCGGCTTGCGCTTTGTATTTAAAAAAAAAAAGAAAGAAAAAAAAAGAAAATTTAGGAGACAATGACACAAGGTATACCACACGCAGCATGTTTAGTTCATATATATTCTAAGCTTTTTTTATGAAACATTTTTATAAAACCATGAACAATGACTTCAATGTGTTTAATGATACCGATATGGTGATATCTAATAAATGTAAATTTAAATTTATAAAATTGGCATATAAAACAATCAGATAAGTTTTTCTGTCCCAAAACATGGTTCTCACTACATCGTTGTGCATTAATTAACTTTCTTTATTTAATTTTTTATGTCATCGTCATAATTCCTATTCTCCCTTCTATTCACACTTGTTTTTGTTGAATAAACACTAGCTCAAATAATTTCTTTAACATCTTCCTTTTCATGTTTGTTATACGCAGAACCAACCAACTCAAAAATACTAATAACGGCATTGTTAAAAATAAATTTGATTAATAAGAATTATGATTTGCAGTTCAATTCCTTGAGAATTTGAAGTGAAAATTACTTACTACGTAATAGGAAATTTTGATTTAAAAAAAATTGAATTTCTGAGTTGATTCATTGAGGACTTGACATGGAAATTACTTAGGTTATTGAAATCAAATCCCCACCCCCAAAATTTGAAAATTATGAAATAAGAAAATTAGACATAAATTCTTGGGGACCGAGTTTTTTAAAATTAATATATATAACTAATATAAGTTTTTTCAATCAAATATAAATTAAACTCGACCTCACACTATCCCACTTGTAGCATTTCTCCAGTCATGTATTATATTAAGCAATTGATGGCTACGACTAGCTGGCAGCCACGTGATGCCGTCTTTTTTAAAATTTTAATAAATGAATAAATCAAGACTAAAAAAATAGGGTGACTTAAGATAGTCTTACCTATACATGGTAATTTATTCCACCGGAAAAGAAAGGACAGCGAAACCGGAAAGAGAGTAACATGATTACATGAAGCATCATATAAATGAGCTCCATGTACAATATATATATATATATATATATATATTAACCAAAATATTTAAAGTTTAAATAAATGGGTAGTTTATTCCACTTATATATATATATATATATATTAAGCTCAATTTTACGAGACTTCCCATATAAAGCTAAGTTAGCTGTACACTCGATATAGATCTAATATAAAGCTTGAGCTTTTCATGAAATTTTATATATGAGATCACTATGGTTTGGTTTCTCTTATTTAGGTTATCTGCGTAGCCAATCAGATCAGTTGAATTGCCAGCTGGATGTAAAAGTGGATCAGTTTGACTCGCTAGCCTGTTTCAGGAACTATCTTGTTTTGAACTGAACAGTTTTACAGAATCGGAGTTGAACTCGAACCTAAAACAGTTGAACTATTTTTTGTATTCTTATTTTAGTAATAAAAATTTTATTTAATTTAGAATTAATTTCAACTTGCTTCTAGGTTGTTATAGTGAAATTTTGAGTGTGTATAATTGGTTTATTGGCATTGTATGCATTAAAGTATAGATAAAATTGAAAATTCATTGTTTTATTAAGTGGATAAATAAGGAAAATAAAAAATATACATATCAAGAAATGTGAAAAATTAAAACTTAATATGTTATAGATGAACAACTTTGAATTGAAAATAATATGTTTTTAATGTTTTATATATACGTTTGTAATATTATTTTTTATTTAATTATTGTGTTATTAGTTCAACCGTTGATCGTTGATCTTTTTAGTTCATCCTTCAATCCGGTTTTTAAAACCTTGTCTCTCATGCTTCATGACACTGTTATCCTTCTTCTCATCTTGTTGCTTATTGTATTTCTAATGTAGTTTAACATACACATTCACTCATGTTTATGGTGATGAGGGATTAAAAATAAAATATATTAAAGAGTGGAGGGAGAAAAATCAAACAAGTTTACATTTGAAAATTGCAAATTTCGATACAGTTGATGATAACAAACAAAAACGGATGCACATGCTTCCCCAAATAGAACAGCCTCGGGCAATTCATAAATCATAACTGATTCATTAATGGAAGACTCGTGTGTGAACACAAATAACTAGGTCAGCTTAAGTGCAAAAATATAATTCAGAAAATGGTGCCTGCATGTGACCTCTATGAATCGACAACGCATGTCAATGAATCTTAACTGTTTTAAAGCATTGCTCAATAATGATACTTTAAAAAACATCAAATTATGTGATATTCACGGGTGTGGAGCGTGGAGTGTGGACAGCGAAGGCTTTGCGATCTATATGATTTATTCTATATATATATATATATATATATTCATGTATTCATTTGAATCGACAAGGCAGGTCAATGAATGTTAAGTACTTAATGCGAGCTAGTATGCCTGAGAAAAGAGTAGGCGTACATCTATATATATATATATATGTATATGTATATATCATTCTATTTACAAGCAAATAAACAATTCAAGTCATTGCAATTATAAAGATTGGTGACACACTGGATAGTTTTTTAGATGTCGCGCGGATGGATTTGAATATTGTGTGATTAAATATGAACTTTTTAGTCACGGTGCGAAGTCACTTTTTTAATAGCAGTCCGTAAAAAATAAGCACGTGATAATGTTATTTATTTGAATATACAAATTATTTAGCAGGCTAAATTAAAACTCACTTTAACACTCTTTTCCTCTTTCACACTTTGTTGGGTAAAAAGGCAATTTTGTCCTTAAATTACATGGCCAGAATGCTATAGAACTCTTATTTATATTTTAAATTACACAGCAATTTTGTTAAGTATTTTAAAATTTATATTTTCAGAAAATTTATATCGAAGTGGTAGATGAAGTACTCCAGCATGTCATAATTAGCACGACCATTATGAATTTTTATATGAGGTACTTCTTCTGCACAAAAATGGTCATTATTTTTATAAATATCTACTAATCCATTTGATTTATTTATTTTAGGTTTCTCTATCATACACTCGTCATGCCCCACAAGCTTATTAGGATATTCACCTTCATTTGTCCCTATGACATTGCTAATTTTCGTGACATTAGGGACTCTAATTGCGAAGATCAAGCAAAGCGGGCTGTGCGATTCATTCAAAGCTAGGTCTACTAAAAGGGGGGGAGGTTATTCTTGATATCTTACGTGCAAGGGTTAGTTATTTGTTATATTTAAAGTGTTTTCTTAATTTTATTAACTATTTCAATTTATTATATATTATTTACAATTGTTAATTATTTTAGAGATTATTGGATGCTGATTGCCCTCAATTCGGCTAAAGAAAAATATGAGAAATTGGCTATCTATCGTAAAAATATGAGAAATTAGCCATATATTACTTGTTTCTTTTTCAATATTTCAAACTTACCAACTTTTGTATTTTTAGGTCTATGTTTTTGTACCACAAGAATGAATCTCTAACTGTCCCTAGGTTTTACCATTTGACCAATTATTCTCATGGACGGTGATAAGGGTACGTGTTTAAACATTTTTTATTTAAGTATTTATTAACAATTATTCAATATTTTAACATATTTTGTTTGTTTTATTTTTTTAAGTGCCCGCATCAAAGACCAAATTCAGTGGACTATGGATATTGCATGATGAGATTCATTAGGGACATTATCACTCACTCCGAGACTTCAATCCCTACCAAGGTTTATATTTAATTTAAATATACATTTTACATATGGCAAAATCTCATTAGTTAGCTAATTAACTTTGTTATGGTTATAATTTAAATTGCAGTATTATGATGACACTTATTGTGAAGAATTTGCGGATGCTCACATCAACGAAGTTGTGGATGAGTGGTGCCAACGTGTATTTCAGTTATGGATCATGCAAAATTCATGCATTAATTCATAGTAAGTGCACATTTGGTCTAGCTAGAAGCAAAAATAATGTGACTTAGGATAGAATTATTGTTTCATTTTTTAGGATAGAATAATTGTGATTTAGAAATAAGATTTGTAACTTTTTTGTTTTCCAATTAATGTGTACTGTGTATGTGTATATATATACATGTTTTTTTAATTTTGAAAGAATATTGTTATTGATGATAATTTTTGTTGGATTGTCTGGATTGTGAAATGTCAATTCTATTATAGGGGACTATTCAAAACGCAGCTTCTACATAAAAAAATATCTATAACATATTTGATGTTTATTCTAAAAACTGTTAAATATGCATATATATTTGACAGTTATTCAAAATAACCATTAAATATAATGGGCAATATTTGATAGTTCTCATAGATAACTGTCAAATATGCTCTTGGTTTTTAGTAGGGGTATTAGTTCTGGTACTGAGACATATTTGATAGTTACAATAACTGTCAAGTAGATAGATTTGCATAAATATGGGAGGCTTATTTGACAGTTTTTAACTGTCAAATATATGAAAAAATAACCG